TGTAGCCCAGGCTGGACTCAGACTCACATACAGGCTGACTTTGAGCTCTGGAGCCTTCTGTCCCAGCCTGGAAAGTGCTGAGGTTACAAGGCGTTAGTTATCACCACCAGCTTGTGTTTTTTGCTTTTGGCTGTTTGAGGACAGGGTCTCATGTAGCCCAGGCTGGCCACAGACTATGTGGCAAGAGTATGACCCTGGACTTCAGATCCTTCCTGCCTGTTCCCGAAGAGTGTTGGGATTGCAAATATGCATTGCCACACTTGACTATGTGGAACAGAACTTAAAACACTAGTGGGAAGGAAATGAAGTAACCATCGAGAAAAATTATTGGAATCTTGGAAATAAGACAAAAGGAAGAGCACATGATTTGCATTGTCATAACTAGATATTGTTCCTTATGTAAAGGTCCATTTTGTCATTAGGTCTAGAGTTTGTAACCTTTGGGGAAGGAACTGCAGCCTGAAACTAAGTTGGTCAAGCAAGTTGTTTCTGATTTGTAACAAAGTAAGGATCTTATGTCAGTAGCATTCCGCTATGCCGAAAAGCACAGAAGTCCAGCAGATGAGCCTGTCTGAAAGAGACAGGGCTTGGTTTACTCCCTGCCTTCTCCTTACCGCCTTCCTGACCAGCACCTTTAATTAGCACTACCTTAGAGAACCCTTTAGATCTGGTATCTGATGATGGTCTTTGAATAGAGGGTCCAAGGGAAGAGAAGAATCAGAAGTCACCTTAAAATTTTGAGCTTTGATCGTCTAGAAGGGCAGGGTGCTCATGAGACTTAGGAAAGAGGAAATACCTTATGGGGAAACACCTTACAGCAGCTGGGAGAGGTGTCAAGCAGACAGATGGACTGTAAGTGTGGATCTGAGAGATGGGGTTGAGACTAAGGCTGGGGACAAAGTCAGTGTAGATGACAGGTCAAGGCATGATTAAGTTTGAGAGAGTAGGTATAAAGGGAAGAAAAGACTCAAGGATTGCTGGGTTTTTGCTTTGTGGCACTGAAGATCAAACCTGGAGCCTTTCACTTGATAATGTCCTGCTGCTGAGCCACATCCGGGATAACTTTTAAGGCACAGGGCTGGCAAGCAATGGTAGCTTCAGCATAAGATACCTTCAGCTTTTTGTTTGTGCCCAGGCCACATTGGTGGATGTGTTGCCCTTTTCGATGTGAAGATGAATCCTGGAAGAAATGGCAGCTATCTGGATGGCGCATATTGATTAGTGATGAATTTCTAGTCTTTTCCATTAAAGCATGAGTTATTTACATGTATATCTAATTGTTGGCTCCAAGTTTCCATAGTTCAGAGACCTAAAAAGGGGTGTTTAACTATTGACTGAGCCTTTGCTCCTGTTTTGACAGGTTGCAGTCTCCTGTTGGGTTTCAAGGCCTGAAAGGTGCTTCTAACATGGCATCAGCTGTGCTAAGGCCTGGGGCCTACTAAGGTCTGGGAACCTGTTACACTTCCTCTTATATGTTTCTGTCAGCATCCATTTTCAAACTGTCAAATCTGGGGTTTAGCTTATGTTACATATAATAGGTTAGATTTTTACTTTCTTTCATAGTGATTGGCAGAAGATAAGATTCCTAGATTAAAGAAGAAAAAGTTTATTCTTCATAGCACTCCAAGCAGCATAAGTGTTAACTTGTTCCTAGAACTCACAGGGTGACACAGAGCCCAGGTGCATACTTGTACATAGAGGGAGTTACCTTTAGAGAAATACACTAGTGTGTGTGTGTGTGTGTGTGTGTGTGTGTGTGTGTGTGTGTGGTTTCACTACACTGGGCAGCAAGGAATGTACTTTTTTACCAAGCTGTAAGTAGACTGGCCCTTTCTGTTAGTAGTGTAGGCAGATTTTTTTCTGTCCCTCTTGCCAGCTCCAGATCACAACGCAGAGAGTTATAATTAATTATGAAAGCTCGGCCAGTAGCTTAGGCTTGTTTCTAACTAGCTCTTATAACTTAAATTAACCTGTATTTTTATTGCTCTACATTCTACCATGTGGCTTTTACCTGTATCCCATTCTGTGTGTCCAACTTATTCCACATCTGTCTGGCTTCTGTGTCTCCTGGCGACTCTGTCCTTCTTCATCCCAGAGTTCTCTCCCTGTCTGCCTAGCTATTGGCCATTTATCTCTTTATTAAATCAACAAGAACACATCTTAACAGTGTACAAAAAGATTATTCCACAATAAAGTGACACTCAGAATTGTTTGGTGCTCCAAAGGATCTGTGTCCAAAGAATTGAGACCCATGGATAAGGAAATAAAGCAGAAGGATAAGCATGAAAGGTCATGCCTGTAATCACAGCTCTCTGGAGGCCAATGGGAAGATACTATGAGTTAGAGGCCAGCTTGAGCTCCTTAGTGAGTTCCAGGCTAGCTAGGGCTACATATCAAGACCTGTAGCAGGAATCTTAGAGAGTCTTATTAATAAAACAAACCTGGACCAGGTATTGGGGTGAACTGGAAGATCAGAGAACCAGAACAAGCCACAGCTACCTCACCTCGCCGGATCCTCAGCTGGTCTTGTTTCCTAAGACTGGAGGCCTCTTAGTCCTCATCCAGAATGGGTCTCAGCTGAACTGCTACTCGAAAGCCTGAATGCTTAACCAGCCAAATGCTTAACCAGGCCAAATGCTTCTAGTTTCTGGTCCTCACACCTTATATACCTTTCTGCTTTCTACCCCCACTCCCTGGGATTAAAGGCTCGCTTTCTGGGATTAAAGGCATGTGTCACCCTGCCTGGCCGGTTCCAATGTGGCCTTGAACTCACAGAGATCCAGAGGGATTTCTACCTGTGGAGTGCTAGGATTAAAGGTGTGAGTGCCACCATTTTCTAGCCTTTGTATCTAGTGGCTGTTCTGTCTCTGACCCCAGATAAGTTTATTAGGGTGCACAATATTTTGGGGAACACAATACCACCACAAGACCCTATCTCAAAGACCAAATATATTTTTTAAATTAGGAAAAAGACAAAGGTGCCTATTATTATTCAGCATCTTGCTAGACTTCTTAGCCAAAGCTATATGACAAGGGAAGAAAATAAAAGGAATACAAATAGGAAAGGAAGAAGTCTTATTATCCTTACTGGCCGATGGTAAAAATCCTTTACTTAAAAGACCTGAAGGACTCCACCAGAAAACCTTCAGACTAATAAACACTTTCAACTAAGTAGAAGAATCCAAAAATTTCATACAGAAGCATAAAAACCCCAATAGTCAATGTATAAAAGCCAATAGCTAGTTAGGCATGATGGCACACACCTTTAATTTCAGCACTCAGGAGGCAGAGGCAGGCAGATCTGTGCAGGTTTGAGGCTACCCTGGCCTACACAGTGAGTTCCAGGCAAGGCCTGACTATATATAGTGAGACACTCGCTGTCTTTAAAAACAGGTCATACAAAACTAATTCCTATGTACCAGTAGCATGAGTGGTGAAAAAGACATTGGGAAACAGTCCCATATCCCAAAAACTTTAAAACACTTAAAGCTTTATTTTATCCATGGATTGGCAGAATTAATGTGAAAGGGGCTGTACTTTAAAAACAAAAAGCAATTTACAAATTCAATGCAGTCTTCCTAAAAATTCCAGTGACATTGTGGTGGTTTGAATGAAAATGGCCCCCACTGGGAGTGACACTATCAGGAGGTGTGGCCTTGTTTGAGGAAGTGTGTCAGTGGGAGCAGGCTTTGGGGTTTTAAATGTTCAAGTCAGGTCCAGTGTCCCTCCCTCTTTCTGCTGCTTGTATGTAGCCATGCTTCTTGCTGTGATAATAGACTAAACCTCTGAACCTGTAAGGCAGCCTCAATTAAATGTTTTCCTTTATAAGAGGTGCTGTGATCATGTGTCTCTTCACAGCAATAGAACCCTAAAACGACATTCTTCACAGAAAAAAAATCCTAAATTTCATACAGAAGCATAAAAAACCCCAATAGCCAAAGCAGTCTTGAAGAAAAAACAATGTTGAGGGCAAGGGAGAGTGCTCAGTGTTTGCCATGCAGACATGAGGACCTCTTTGATCCCCAGAGCCCACATTAAAAAAAGAAAGAAAACAAAGGCCAGGTTCAGTGTTGCTGGCTTCTAATCCCAGCTCTTTTGAAGGCTAAAACAGGACCTGGGGCTTGCTGGCCAGCCAGCCTAACTGCATTGGGAGACACCAACTGGAAACCCTACCTCACAAAACAAGGTAGATGGCTTCTGAGGAGGGACATCCAAGGTTGTCATCTGGCCTCCATACACAAACCCTTCATTTTTGACAAAGGTGTCTGTGATGGATATTCTTGGTTGTCAACTTGACTATATATGGAGTTAACTAAAACCCAAATGGCTAGGCACACCTATGAGGGATTTTTTTTTTCTTAATTAAATCATTTGAACTGGGAAGACCCACTTCTAATCTTTGAGGTGGGGAGATACACCTTTAATCTAGATCTTCAGAGGTAAGATGATCCACTTTTAGTCTGGGCCATGCCTTCTGCTTATCGCCTATATAAAGGGTATGGAAAAAAGGAAGCTGGGTCTCTCTTTGCTAGCTGCTTGCTCTTACTAGCAAATCTAATCCAGCCTATCCTGAAGAACAGCTGAGACATCCAGCCTCAGACTGAACAACTACTGATTCTTGGATTCTGTTGATAGACAACCACTGTTGGTCTAGCTGAACCACACCCTGTAGCCATTCTAATAAATTCCATG